CATATTACTATTGTTTCTGTTTCCCTAATGCTTCTTTTATTTCTCTTAATATTTGTAACTTTGTAGCTCTATAATTGGCAGTTTCTTTTCTTTTTAGTCTTTTTCTTCTAATGAAAGTGTCAAATAATTTGCTCTTGCTTCAGTTAATGAGATTTTTCTTTGCTCTATATACAAAATTAATTATAGAAAAGTATACATTTAAAAAAAAATGTGAAATTTCTTATTTTGTTCTTTATTGCTGCACTGGGACTGTATTAAAACGGGATAGTACAAAACATAGATAGTTTGGCCTGTACTATCCTTAGTAGTGCAGTCCCAGTATAGTTATAAAGAACAAACCTATAATTAAACCAACGGTACATGGTGCGTTTTTTTTCTGTTGGATTGCTTGCAAACTAGTAAATTATTAAACATATTGTACATTGCATTTCTTTACTTACTAACTGGTGTTTCATTCTCATCACTGTTGTCAGTTAATGGAGAATGTTCAGGTTCTTTAATATTTGATCCTGCTACAGATAATGGTTTTATCCAATGTTTTTTCGAAAAATATTATCTAATACCTAAAACATAAATATATACATATATATATATATTTGTCAGACTATTACTATTGCTATACTATTGTGTCATTTTTATTACATCTAAATATATCCAATCTTTTCTATCGTTTCCACTTTGAGCATTATGGTCAACAATTTGACGATATCGTCTCTTCAATGCATCCATTTTATTATTGCATTGGTTGCCTGTAAAATTATATTTTTTTTCCTTCATACACTTGGAAATGTCTATCCACATTTTTTTATGAGAACCTTTTCCCAGCATATATGATTTTTCTTTATATAAAGATATTAAAAGAAGTACAGCTTTATGTTCCCATTTTTCTATATTTACTTCTAAAATAGAAAAAGTAATTAATATATTTCTTACTTGTCTCCATATTATTATTATTTAAACTTACCAGTATTTAGCGTATCTGAAATGTTTTCAGTGCTAGAAGAAGTATCGTTGTGAACTATATTTTCAGTATTATCAGTATTGTCAGGAACTATAGTACTTGTTACATTTGAACAACTGGATTTACTATTCTTTATTGATGAAGCAGAACTATGTATTGTATCTTTAGAATTATGTAACGTTTGTGCTTTCTTTAATAATGTAGTAGCAAACATTATGTCTAAACAAATATAAGGTAATATAAATATACATAAGAAAAAATTTTGTATATATTTACATAGCTTTAAAGCCTAGGATACTTCAAAAACTTTAAGTAATAAAGCTAACAAAGTATCCTAGATTCTAAAGCTTTGTAAATACAAATCAAATAGCACAAAATAATTTTTTTTTTTGGCCTTTCTTGGTTGAGAAAGTGTTACTGCTATTAGCAGCATGCCTTCAGTTCAGATCCCTGAACTATATGACACAAAAAAATAAATTTTATAAAAAACTAGGTTAAGTTTAAATTTGCACATTCATAATTTCAGGGAAAAGATATTAATTTTATTGCTATTATTAAAATGGATTAAAAATGTAACTTGTACCATTATGAGCACGATTATATACTTTTTTTTCCACTTTTAAAACATATTGTATATTTGTTACTTCATCAAGTAATATTAAATCAATCAATTGGTTATTGTTCTGTTCATGTTGAGAAATAGAGAGAGTTTTAGATACAGATTTCTCCATTTTTCTCCAAACTTTGTAACTATACACACAATTTTTTTAATATTAAAATTAACTTATTTTTTAATAAAAAAAATTTTTTGACTACTTGAAAACTTATTCATTACATCTAGCTTTTACTGGCTTTACTGGCAGCAGAAACGAAACGCAGCACCAGTAATTTTCATTGCTGCCAACAGTACTGTTTTTACTGGCAGTAACCAAACCTATTTTCGAACACACTACAAATGTATTACGTTAAACGTCAGATATGGAATGAACCTTGCATAATGTATGTATGGAAAAATATATACCGCGTGGTATCACCACTGGGATGAGTTTCTCCATGTGATGCAGATGAATTTGTCTCTTGGTCTCTTTGAAACTATTTGTCGATTATTATTTAAACGTCTTATATTTTTAATTTTGTGTAATATTGAAATATAAAGTTAAGTTACTATCATACACAATTTTCTTTTTGTTAAATTTAAGATTGCAGTAGCATTTTGCATTGAGGTTAAGTCAGAATTAAGGTAAGACTAAATTTTTATACCAAAGCAAAAGAGAAATTTATATATATAATTCTTGTTATCAATTTTTTAAATTAATTAATAGATATGTTAAGGAAATTGTATATATAATTTTTATAGAGATTGATATCTAATTATGTTATATATTTTTAACAGATTTATTCAAAGATGAAGCGGAAAGCAGAAAATTTAGATGCTGATAACATAAAAACAAATAATGATGTGGAAACAGATAATAAAAAGAAAAAGAAAGTGAGATTTGAGAAATCTTTAGACAAGCCTACAAGTAAGAACAAGACAATAAAGTAGTGATGTTTAAAAAAGCTTACATATATCATACATAAAAATAATTGAAAATGTTTTTACAGGTAAAAACATAAAGACACCCATTGCAAAGAAGAATTCACAGGGAAATAATGTAAAATTGGCGAAAAATAATGCAACTATTGAGAAAATAAATCAGCTGAAATTGAAGAAAAAAAAAGAGCTTGGACAGAAATCAGAAGCTACGAAAAAGAAAAACTCAAAGGATAACAATGTAGAATTAGTGAAGAATAATGTGACAACCGAAAAGACAGATTGGCTCAAACTTAAAAAGGAAAGAAAAGAGCTTAGAGAAAAACGCAGAGCCAAAAAAGTGAATAATGACACAGTGTATGATAAAATCATTCAAGCTAAGAAAATTAGTGAGAAGTTACGCAGATCTGACTGTACATTGCAAGAACGTGTAAAGTTAGCTCGGACGTTACATGAAATGTTGAAAACTCACTACAACAAAGTGATATTCACACATGATATGTCCAGAGTAGTTCAGTGCATAATTAAATATTGTGAAGCAGATGTTCGACAGACTATAGTACGTGAGATAAAGCCATTTATTACACAGATGTTAGAGTCGAAGTATGCGAAAAATTGTATAAGGACCATTTTGAAGCACGGCTCGCGAGAAATCAAGAACGACGTTATTTCTGCATTTTATGGTAATATCGTCAGGCTAATGAGTCATGCTGTGTCGGCTCCTCTCATCGAACTCACATATTCCACTTGGTGTACAGACCTCGACAAGATATATTTCAAGCAGGAATTTTTTGGGGATCTGTATAAACTGATGAAAGACAAAACCGTTATATCATTGTCGGACGTATTTGAAACTGCCATGGATATGAAGACAGCCACGTTGTCCGCAGTAAAGACGAATCTAGTGCGAATCTTGAATAAGAGTCTTATTAATTCTACTCTGTTGCACACGGTTATATGGGAATTTTTCTGCGTATGTTCAGTGGAAGACAGGAATGAGTTAATAGTTATGCTACGAGATTTCATTATAACGCTGTCGCAGACGAAAATGGGAGCGAAAGTCGCTGCGCAATGTATATGGCATGGCAATAACAAGGATAGAAAAGTTATCATGAAAGCTTTTAAAGAGAACGTAAAAACAGTTTGCACATCTGAATACGGTTACATGACGTTATTGGCACTCCTCGATTCCGTAGATGACACCGTTATTATGAAGAAAATAATACTGTCTGAACTGCAACAAGATCTAATCGATATTGCGCTAAACGAATATGGAAGACGCGTTATATTATATCTTGTAGCTAGAAGAGACTCTCACTATTTCCCGCCGAGTATCGTGGAATATTTGCAGAAAGGCGATAATAACTCGATAAGCAAGAAGCCTGCCGACATTAGAGAAAAAGAACTCCTCGAAACGATTCGGGATCCGCTTCTTGATGCTGTAATCGCAGATGCAGCAACGTGGCTCTCCAACGGCGCAATAGCCATGGTTACTCTAGCGATATTAAAAGTGGGTTCTGGGCAGAAACTGCATTCCGCGTTCGAATCAATTGCTAAATTTATTAGCAACGTAGATGCAAAAATCAAAGAAAATGATGCTGAGTGTAATTTGGTCGAACATCCCGGATTACATATGATGTTGAAGAAACTTATTCAGAATGATCAAGAATTGCTGAAAAAAGACGAATGTACATTTGGGGAAATATTAATATCGCGTTTAACTGCAGAGGTGCTACAAAAGTGGATAGAATTTAACAGAGCTTGTTTCTTACTGATCTTCCTTATAGAAAATGAGTCTGAAAGTAATACACGTATATTATCGTCCAAGTTGAAACCGTTAACGAAAAATCTCGTATCAAAGAAAAATTCTGGAGCATCGATATTGTTAAAAAAATTGAAAAAATATGAATGATGTCATCAAATTTAAATTTTAATTAGGAATTTCAATAAATTAAGGTAAAATACATCTTGATATAATTATTACAAATATAAATTTTTTCCCTCAATTTTTACTCCCTCATTTCTTTTTAAGGTAACATAGTCGTTTAACATAATTATAACAAATGACATACAAAACACTGATTGGATTATCATTTTTTTTACTTCCTCGCCCCATTAGTGGGGTATAATATAAGGATATAATAAAGAATTTTATAAACAAATTATATTCTAAATTATATCTTATTAAGCGATGGACTATATTAGGCACACATCTACATTAACATATTATTAAATAAGCACGCAACCGGAGCTATCAGAATCTTTTATCATTATTTTCGAGATTAGCAATGCTAACGACAGTTCGCAACATACTCAAATGAGTACGAAGAATACACAAATTCAATTCGGCATACCTAGTGATGAGATTTTAAGATTCTTATTTGCAAATTTTTGAGCAAGTTAAGAATGAGCGAAAATCAAAAATCTCCAAATATCTTGTAAGGCTGTTACGATTGAAAGTCTTGAAAGTCTGAATGTGTTAAATATTTTGAATTATATAATACGTACACACTACGCATGTACATACATACATGTATTTATATACGTTCAAGATTTTTCAAGATTTTCAAGACTTTCAATCATAACAGTCTTGCAAGATGTTTTGAGACTTCTCGATTTTCAGTTTTTAATTCCAGATGTCTTGAGACGATTTGAATCCCATCACTAGAGATACCATGCATGTACATAATACGGCTAGTTAAATTTTAAGCATTTCCTTAATGTCAACAACTCTGGTCCGTATTTCTGGCTGGTTATCCTTCACTAAATCGGGCAAAAGTTCTTTTAAAACGCGCGTTATCTTATCAAGTTGTTCGTCGTTATTCGTCTCGCGCATTTTCCTCGCTAGTGAAAGGACTATATTCAATGCTTCTTTTCTAATTCTCGTGAACTTCGAAATATCTACAAAAAGAAAAGGATGCTGTACTTAAAAGTGTGCTAACATTCAATTAAATGCATTTTTATCATTAATATATTTAATATAATGTCAATCATTTGTGGTCACACACACACAAACATTTTTATATTGATTTTATTATAATTGTAATTTTTTTAATACTAAAATTAACATATTCAGAAATTATATATATAGAATGCTATCTTGCATCCTTAAAAAAAAGATGTCCTTCCAACATGCATTTGCAACAGAAAACTGATATCGGAAATGTGTCGATTTAAGACCACAAAGGAGTTGAAATTATAATATATAAATTATATTTATGTGATTTATATTATATATGTATATATATACTTACTTATACAATATAATAATATTTTATTGAGGTTATCACTGATTTCGTCTAACAGTTTTTTATCTTTTACTGACATTTCTGTTTTGTTTATTTTTAGCACGACAAGTCTATCCACAAAGAGATTTAACGCTGTCAAAATAGCAATTTGCACAGACCTCGTACTGTTTGGCAGCACTTTTTGACAGTGAGTTACGAATTCTATGCAATATTTCTCTGCAATCAAACGAATGAAATTGTAAATTGTATATCTAGCACATTACATCTGTATTTTTTACCAAACTGCTATAAATTTTGTCCATAAACAGGTAATTTTGTAACCTTGGGTCTCTTTGGTGGAGGGCCATGCTTTTCCGAGCACTTCGTAAACTGTTTCCTGCAACTTTATATTATTTTCTTTCTTCTTCCTGCTTTCTTCCGCAGTATCTTCTTCATTGTCATTATTTTTATCAGACACCTGTGTATAAAATATACATGTTAAATGCGTTTAAAATTATTTCTCTGTAATTTTGTCATTAATTGCAGCTTACTTTGACCAAGATTTCCTGTACAATTTCATATATTTCAGTAAACCTATCGACATCGAGTTCGTGCAAGACCATAGCATACGCTTTTAATGCATTTCGTCGATACTCGACGTTCTCCTTCTTACTTTCTCTATGTAACGTTACCATAATGCTATCTAACAACACAGCATCCGCATCTAAAGCTACTCTGCAATGAAATTCAAAATATAAGTTTGAGATGTTAACTTTTCCATATAAATAACTGAAGAAACTGAAGGACTTCCTAATGTATATTCAATGCACGTACTTGCTATTGCACGCTAGCGTAGCGAGAGCGTTCAACAAACGTTCCTTTCCTTCCCACGTTCTGCCACGCAAATTATCCGTTAAGACTTTCAATAAAGTATTCCTGACTTCTGGATCCATATAACGACTCGATTTTAAGGCAATAGTATGTACTGCATTCGCAGCTTGCATTTTCGTAGTCCATGACGCCGACTCCAAGGCTTTATGCAGAATATCAATTATTGCTCGCTCGTGTTGCACAATTCCTGCTTCGGTTACAGGCATTATCTCGTTCCAAAGATCGGTCCACAATTCAACAGTGCTTTCATTTCCTAATGAAAAATATCACACATAAAAACAAAGTGCAAAAGACATATTTGTAAACGAATTGTATAACGAAATACGAACCTGAAACTTTTTCTGCGTGCATAGCAAAAAAGGTAAGAGGAACGACTATCTTTTGATACTTCTTCAATTTCTCCTGATTGTAATTGTTTATAGACTGCAAAACTTGTCCAATCGCTAATCTTATTGCATCATCTGTAATTTATATTTTTCTCTATTTCAGTTTTCCCGTAAAATAAGATAATGAAACGCTATAAGAATGTATAATGCTACTGTTAGAGTCTCGATGTACCTTCGCGTTCCAAATACCATGTGTTTAAGCTATTAAATAGTTTGTCGAGACTAGAATCTTTAGCCGAGCCAACTATATGTCCAATGCTAACTGCATTATTTTTTCTCACAGCAGCGTTACGATCCAACAAACCGTTGAGTAAGGCAGATAGAATCTTAGCTGATGGAACAATACGAATAATTAATTTGTATTATCAAAATCCTATAAGTTACTTAAATTAGAAAATATTTTCTAAACAAAAATTTTACAAATTGTAAATTGTAAATCAATTTATATGGTAAATTATTTGCTGTTCTTGGGATAAAAAAAATATCAACCGCTATATGGCTGCAATTCTGCTTTCAGATGAGTGCTGAGAAGAATTATGAAATGCGAACAAGCGATTTTTGTTCCAAATCCTATACTGGATTTGATTAAATCTATTACTTTTGGCATTAAATCCTTCAATACATCCGCATCGATATATTGGATGCACTAAAAAGAAAAATGGCAAGATATCAGAAGAATGCGTAACGTGCTCTACCGGGTTCACTTTTAGATAACTTTTCAAATCAACTATGAAAATAAAAGTACCTTTGTTATTGTGTCTGACGCATGATGACCTTTGGCAACGCTAGCTCTAAGATTATCAATAGCTTCCTGCGTTTCCGTGGTCGCGCCGCACACATTACTCAAATACGAGAGCTTAGGATTCTCTGATTCACCGATCGTCTCCAATAATGATGGTATCAGATTGACGATAGACGGCTTCAACAGAACGCCGGCCGTGGATACCAGTTGAGACACTGTTTGCAATGAAATAGCTCTCACCGTATCCACGGTGTGAATAATACCAATGTCGAGTAACACCGGCAATATCGCTTGGATAACTTGCTTTCCCGCATCGCCGTGCGAAGAGTCGCAATGACGTATGCAAACCTACGTGTAAGGATCAATTAATTTCTCAATCACAACTGCAGGAGGCTCACAAGAAAAGGAAAAGCTCACGACTCACCTTGCTAAGTATTTTGGCGGTGCTCGTCGCGGCTAACCGCGTGCCTTCGTGAATATCGTCCATTACGCGAAACAATTTCTTCCACAGTTCCGGGCCGCATTCGGCGAAGTTGAACTGAACATTTGTCCTTAAAAGATCTGCGAGAGCATTACAACAACTGATACGCACCCTCCACTCGTTATTCGTTAGATTATCAGTTACATCAGTCAATATTTCTCTATGATACTGTTCGATCTATGGTAATGTACAAAAAAAAAACATTTTTACGCTCACTATTACATACAAATATTAGAATATTAATTAATGCTACTAACGGCTTTCGTCGTGGAAGGAACAACGGCCCGCCAAATACTAGTCATACTCTGCTGGATCTTCGGCGTCGGATCGAATTGATATCTGTACAACCGTGGTATTATATTAGGTAGATATTTATTCAGTTCATCCCTCGCGATACTGGCGATTGCCGCGAAGCCAAACGCCGCTCCCTTTTTCGATGTCCATATCGCATTGTGATTTGCCAAATGCATGAAGTAATACACGAGCTCGGGCTTCTGCAGTTCTGTCGCGAGAGAACAGATCTCCCGATACGTTGATAAATTACCGCTGAAAATTGCATTATTTCTTCAAGCGTTTCATATTTTATTCAGCTTCAAACATTTACTTTCGCCAATAATAATTTTTGAGAGTAATTATTGTTTTCTAGTCCGAATAATTTTTATCTCAATTGACGTAACGCAAAATATCGTATATGATTTTATTCTCACCCAGATGGGCTTTTTCCCAATTGGCCTTCCTCGAATAATTTAGTATCAGCGGTGACTTGTTGCACTGCTCTACGACCTTGCGTAAACTGATCTAATATACTGGACACTAAAGCATCGCGTTCTTCCTGCTTGCTATTAATATGCGCTAAACTAAGGCCCTTTGAAGCAATATCTTGCACTATATCTGCAATGAAATTAATCAGTTACATCTCTTCTAAAAAAGAAGAAAACTAGTAGATTATACTAATCTTACCGCTGTCATCTGAGAGAAAATCTATGAAAACATGATGAATCGTGGACAACCTTTCCTTGAGGCATTCGCGTTGAACGTTGTGTTTGAGAAGCGCGAATAACCACACACACACTGCCTTTAAGAAACATCGTTTTATTAACAAAACGAAAAGTACTTGGCAATTTTCTAAATTATGTATAAATACCTGTCGCAAGTTTGGATGAGGCACTTTATGTACGTTAAATAATTCGCCTAACACATGTATCAATAATTCGTCACTCTCCTTACTGTACGGAACAACGTGTTCGGCGGGCAAAGTTATCCAGGCATTTCGCGATTCCGGCGAAGCCTGTCCCTGGACGCAACAAACCAAAGCTTCTCCCAAAGTTAAATGGATCTCGATATCTTTTGTCTGTTGAATATCAAACGCATTTCATTATATTACGTGACAAGTTTAAGTAAGCGTAAAGACAGATTTAAACACCTCTTTGACTGTTGCTATAATTTTGTCAGCGACATCTGCGGTATGTGGAAAACTCTCGCCGACGCATAAGTATCCTAAGGAAAGTGCAGCCTTTTCTTTCATCTAAAATGAGGATGAATCCATCAGATGTAAAATATTTTTGCGGTACAATAAATTGCGTTCAGAGAACAAACCTTAGTGGTCAATTTGGCATTAGATAATACGGAGAAGAGAGTTTCCATCACCGCTTTTTTGTTCAATTCATCGTCGCCTTCGGCGGGCAGAGGTAGAGAATATGTCTTTCCCAAAACACCAATGGCCTGGATAGCGGCGTCCATTAATAGTATTGTCTTATCGTGAAGATATGTACCTGATTGACAAACGTGGTAAAAAATTTATCGAATATTTGATACATAATTTTCATATACAAATACGTACAAATTGTTTTCACAATGTCGTTATAAGTCGCCCAATTGCACAATGCCTCCTTGTTCTCCTTCCGTTGTAGCATTAAATTTCTTTCCGTCATATAAGTCAGCGCCATCAGTACGCCATGCTGCGCCTCCAAACTTTTTTTATTCATAATGTCCATGATATTCGAAACGTGCTTCTCAAATTCATTTTTTGGAAAATGACCAGTGATAGCACCGTATACTTTTGCAGCTAACTGTCGTACATCTTGCTTGGTGGAAGTGAGCAGGGAACAGAGCCACGGCAATTCTTTCTCATATGCTTTTATTATATGATACGGAACGGAGCCAAGTACTTCCAATAATGCGTTTAAAGAAATTTGATCTGTATCAAGACAGTAAAATATTAGCTTGGCATTTCAAGGGCGCTTTGTGCAATTATAATTATTTCTCACCTGCGGAAGAATGACTTGAGAGCAAAATCATGTCGAGATAATTAGTTAATACTTCCGGTTGGTCTTTGTACAATTTCTCCAAATAACGTCCAATCAAGGGAGTATATTCGGAAGGATGTTGCAATGGTTCGTTTCGCGCGGGAATATTAGCACTTCTAGCGAGGCAAACGCGGAAATAAGTGATAATCTATAACGATACAAGTTGTTAATATAACAATATTCCTGCGCCGCTTGTAGATTTGATCTCCGCCAGAAACTTACTTCGGAGAACGTAGTGGTATTATATGGGAGTACTTTCTTGTCCGTGTTTCTGCCGCCGGTCGCGGCAGGCATTCTCGACTGCATCTTCGAGTGGATGTAACTTACTAGCTTCACAAACTCGGGCAACGGTATCTTTTTGTCAATCTGTTGACTTTCTTCGTTCTTATGCACAACGCCGTACAGCGCTTTCATAGCTTCCGTGCTTATCTCGTGTTTGTTGTCGCCGCACGCTAATAACAAGAGATACCGTGATGGAGCATCGTCAGGTGGAAACACGGTTGCGGCATAATGCATCGCGACAAATCTATTTGCAGAGATAACACCATCACACACACACACAATTGGAATGCACATTAAAATTCATGTAATCCGTGTTTTTCGATACATGCCTCACGCTTGACTCTGGTGATTCGATGTGCACCGACAGTAAGGCGTTCATCAGAGTTATGTTGCTCTCGTCCTCCTTGTTCAGCACGAATGCGGATGTTACGCAAATCAACGCGTCCCTTACTGTCCGCCGTAACTCGCCGTCCGTCTTAAATATTAGAAGACATTTACATACAATAATTACACGCGATTTTCTCATCATTGTTTTCGACAAGATCGGCTACTTACAGATACAAGTGTGTCGAATAAATTGTGCAATAGACTCAAGTCCTTGTTTATCAACGACGGTATTCTCTGACCGAGCTGCCCGATGACTGTGTACGCCATCGGTTTATGCACATCATCGCCCTCGGAGATCAGTTTTATCATACCGTTCAGAATTACTCCGGCAACGCGAGCTAACGGTACAAGACTGCAGCTAAAAGTTTAAAATCGAATACAATTCATTATGTGACCAAGTAATACGTTAAATAAATAATGGAACACAGTTAAGTACAAAGCTAATCTACAATAAAATAAAAAATTCACGAAGCGAATAATGCAACATGTGTCATGAATAAACGCTATCCATCTCTTCTTCAGTAAAACTCGCAAGAAGGAATAAATTACAAATCTATCGATAAATGTGCAGTTAATAGTAAAAGAAAATAAGAACTTACTGTTGGACAATATTTGATGTAAACTGTAGGGCCAACGATTTCAACTTTGCATTCGTGTTCTTTCCATAGAGTGAATCAAAAACAACCTAAAAAAATAATTTTATTAGCCAATTTATGAACGCAGCAGCACCACAAGACATTGACATATTTCTCAATCAAATTTTATGTACCTGTATACAGGGCGGTATGATAAAACCGGCTTTAGTTACACGACAGAGATACTGCAGGAGCTTGAGACGAATTCGAGTGCTCGCGGGATGTCGTTTCATTTCAGGCTTTATTTCTTTTTGCGTAGCTAACGCGTCCGTGCCCAAGAATAGCGTGTAGAGCGGCGCAGCTAACTGCATCGAAGACCAATCCAACGTGCTAAACAGATACAGCATCGATTACATTCTTGATCTGTCGCAATTCTAAAAAAAAGAAAAACAATTTCTGAATGTCAATTTCTTTTATACAAACCCAGCTATCTTTTTCAATTCTAAATCTGCCATATTGGCAATGCTGAATCTGGTATCAGCAGCCGCCACAATCAAGTGAATCAGAATATCTGTATCAGGGAAAAATCCACCGGCGAGGAACTTAACAATGCCCAGTTTTATCTGCTCGAGCTGTTCGGCCGTTGGCGGGTTTTCGCCTATCACTCTTTTGAACGAGTAATCGCTCAAGCCCGGCGGCACAGTGAATTGAGACCAGTCGATAGACTGACCAGACTGTTGATTTTCTGCTTGTCCCACAGATCTAACAATATATCAATATTAGCAACTGAAGAACAACTGAAACGTTTAAAACAATACAATTGTACAACGCATATCTCACCCATATGGCAAAAGCAATATATCAAGCATGAAATTAATGAGCTGCTTCGCCACATAAGGCTTATCTTGCAAACCTAAAAGAGACGCTCGTTTGTCAGGATCTGCTGGTATATTGATATGTCCCAACGCTGGCATTATGATCAATAACAAGCTGCAGTTATATATTATATTATAATCTGTTATTTTACACGGTCAATTCTTGTATTAACTCATATATATATTTTTTTAGAACAAACCTATCTTGATGGGACAATGGTTTTCCTTCAATAGCATTTAATATACTTGGAATTAATTCTGCTTGCTTATTCATCTCCATTCGAGGATATCCTAACTTTATGTATATTATGGTGAAATTCTGCAATTATGCAAATATGCGTTACAATATGCTTCTCTAATCTCGACTGACAAATGCATACAGGCAACATACAATGACAAATGAGCTAGCAGCTGGATCCTGATATTGCAGGAGCAAGGCCTCAACAGGCAGCTGCACCTGTGGCCTGCTCTTTATTCGCTTGTTTATATGGACCAGCAGTTCCATCACCTTTTTCCTAACACCTTCCTGCCCGCTAGACAACTTGAGCAATACGGGAGGCAAGAATTTACAGACTGACGCCTGCAACTGTTCATCTGTTTCTGCTGTGCCCAAGCGAAGGAACACTCGCTCGAGCAAAACTAAATAAACACGAAAAAAATAACGTGATTATTATTGCAAAGAAAAATAAATGACAGATTTTAATTTCCAATCATACATTGCTAATTCAATTTTGATAAAGATGTAAAAAAAATAGGAAATATATAGATCGATTTTGCATATTTATTTCTATATATTAAGTCATCAGAGTATGAAGTCATCGCGAAAATATTGATATGTATAAGTAAATTCTTAAATCGGCTCGATCAAATGCAGACGCAACAGCGAGATTTGACAGTTGCGAGCACGTGTCAAAAACGGCGTAGAGAAGCGAACGAAGCGGAAGAGAAATATCGAGAAAAAAAATCTGTATACGATTGCTCTGAAAACGAAGTTGCTTTCCAGTCGAACAGCATGACAATTGATTTTGCTCCCGCACGCCGCAGAGTCTCTCGAATGCAGCGACTTTTGCACGCGTGACAACCATGATAGAATCGTAGAAGAGCAGAACGCGTAATCTACAATCTGATTATCAACCGCGACGACATTCATCTACGTGAAACGTAAAATAAATCTTTTTTCTTAGGAAAGTACTTACTCAGCTCGTCCGTAGCCGCTGCCATTTTGAAAAAGTCTATAAGAGAAAGCGTATGTCGTTAGAGAATGACGAGAGTTTCCGTGAAATTATGCACGACCAGCGGCACTTTGACGCAGCGAAGACTCGACGCTAAAATCGTTAAAACGCTTTAATGTCGACGTGACCACGCGTGTCGACCACCAATACAGTATGTTGAATATATCACACCCCCTCGTCGCAACTTCAACGTTATTTTACGTGAGGGCGCTAAATTTCGATCTGAGGTTAGAAAAAAAGTTGAACGTATTCACGATACGGAATCACGACAATGTGCGATATTTCGTGACGTTTCTTGCGAGAGTTTTGCGAACAATCGCGTCCGCCAAGTGTCAAACAATGCAATGACAACTGTGAATTTATATTACAGATTTAGGAATGTGCGATATAAAAGAAAAACTCGAGCCTTGGTGAATAAAACCATGTAAGAACATTAGAACTCTGTCAAATCGTATAAATTACGTTTTTGAAGAATGACACTTGAAAAATGTTAATTAGATAAGTTTTCAATGGAAAAAGAATATTCTCCATCGATTTTACTGAAATTTACAGTCGTCACGTGTTATTACATCAATAAGAAATTACTAAGATTTTTGCTCCGCACTGCAATCGGATTTATTCACACTTGAAAAACACTGCGTTGAGGTTGGAATTTCTGTCATCGATTACAATTGCATCTAAGAGCCATCTAATTGTAAAAATAATAACTGGCTGGCGGTTCGTGGTTTTTTTTCTGAATTGAAAACAAGATATAATTTCGGTGGGTTTTCAAAAAAGCGATTTTTGTTAATAGAAATACCGATTAATATTAAGCTTGATTTTTATATATAAAATGGCATTGAAAATTTATCTCATCGAAATTATAACGCTTTTAAGCAAAATAAATTGATCATCTATATTTTAATATTATACTATTTATATTATACTAACATTTGTTATGATTATCTTTACTGTCTTAGACATTTGATGGTAAAAATAAATAAAATAAATTATTTTAATATCTCTCACCAAAGTAAACTTTTTCAAAGTTGTCACTAAATCGAAGTTGTGCATTTTCATGTGAAAAACTATATAAAAATAATTTATAATATTTTTTAGAAAGTTTTGCGTGATTTCATATACGTCGCAGTTAATCGCACTGAATTTGCGCAAACGCGACCTACGTTAACATTTTGTATATTTTCGAAAAAATACTGCACGACCCTGACCAATGAACGATCCGTATTCTGTAATACAAATCAGCCGGTTGCCGCTGCTTTCGCCCGGCCATGCTTGTTTGTTGACCTTCAGTCGTCTTTAATAAAGTAGAGGTCAACTTGTTCTAAGTTTTTCCTACCGATCTTTTGAATGCGAACGCACGTTACATCGTGCTTCGCGATCATTTTGCATTCTCTCGTCGATATTTGTAGGTAGGAAAGTTTTCTTTCGTAATATTTCAGTAAACGAACATCATTTCTCTGTAGCACGTTCGTGTATTAACCAAGTTTTAATGACAGCTGTGGTCGCTTGACAATTTGCGGTTATTCTTGTAAGAAATTCTTAT